GGTCAACAATTTACTAGTCAAACGTTCAAAATAAGAATAACTTTGATTTTTTCGATAATAGTAAACGCGATCCATCTGTAAACGTGCATAGTTGGTCATTTCTTTACTTATTCTACTTATAAGTTCTTATAACTTCCGTTATGATGGTAAGAATGATGTTTTAGCGTGTTTTGTCCGATGACCTCATTTTATTGGCGCGTGAATCGCACCACACCCGTAGCTTTTGTAGGGGACAAAGTTCAAAAAAAAACGGCCGGCTCTTGAGTGACCGCCTCAGTAACTGCTGGTTAACAAGCTATTTCTTTAAACGCTTACCATTTATGTGGGCAGTCTAAGCTGATATGCTCCACGTTCAATACGAAAGCCCCACGGATTTATGTGATATTCGCCACCCAACATTTTCCAATTTTTATCGGCAAATATCCCTTTTAGGTACCCCCAAATTACTGAACAGATCCAGTCTTTCTAATCCCTTGTTTTTGCAAACACTGAAACCCAGCTAATGATGCATATACAGAACTAGTTTCTATTTTGTTAATGCCCATAGCTTAGGGGTAGAAATGTGACGCGACATCTTTCAAAGCCAAGGAACTGTGTGACCCCTTCCTTCGCAAATTTCCTGAAAGCATTATTCCGCGATTTTGATATGTTTTTATAAAAATTCAATTTGTAATCAGGATGTGTAATTAATAAGTGTGTGTAACAACCTCGAGGGACGCAGTTTAATTTGTTTTTCAGTTCAAATGTATATTTTTCATTGAAATGATAAATCCTTGCAATAATGATGTTGCTGTTTCACAATAAATTGTTTTTTTTTTTTGGTTTTTTAGGCAGTAAAAGCAGGGTTAGGGAGGGGAGACATTGTCTGTAGGCGAGACGACAGGCTTCTGAAAGGAGAAAAGCTCTTCGCAAAATGGTAGACGGGGTATAAGACCTCAGTTCCCTAAGGATCGGAAGCACTGCTTGCACAAGCCATAGTAGGTCACTCAAAGCTCAGGCACAGAATTGTTGATTATTGTTCGAATTTGTAATATGATACAGCTAACGTTTTAGTGCAACTGAAACGGTTTTGTAATTCTGACCGCTTGGCAGAGGTCTTCAGATTCTGTGAATGCGGTGGGCTTATAGGTAGTCATAGACAGATGATAGCAGTGTTGCGGGTAGTCTATGGTAATATTGCTGACACTTTTGGACTAGGATGTAGGTCAGGACGCGCCACCCCGGTAACACTTCTGAAATTAGGTCATTACTTGCGCAACGGTGAAGGTAGGTTGTGCCGGGATCCTTCATTTTCACAGCACAATAAGGAAAGGCCATGAGAGCGGGTCTTTCAAGCTGGTCTCCTACGACTGACGGCAATAGTTCATTCTCATTCAGGAATCTTGTAGTTGTACTATCACGAAGAATGCTAAAAATATAAAGTACTCTCTTTATTCTCAGTGCGTTATACGGTAATTTATCGCGAGGTATTCTTATTATTGTACTGTAAGTGAAATATGCAACAAAAAGATGGCAGTTTCAATCATCATATAAATATGTACAATTTTCAGTAGCTATAAAAATATCGTGTTTGCTGCTGAAATTCTGACGTCTGGGAGGGAGACGGAACGTATCGGTCATCCTGATGGACGTCAAAAGGTAGCATAGGCTGAAAAATTTGTTTTAGGTCACCGGTAAACATCTTGGCATACTGTATTGGCGATTATATTTTCAACTTTCAGTGATTTTATTCTATTTTTAGCAAGCCAGTCACCTCGATACTCGTATCAGTTAAAATTTGGTTTCTAAACATCGAAGTAAAGGGAGAGCAAGATGCCATATGCGGAAGTTTGTCATTCAGTGGGAATTCTGACAGTACAGGGGTGGTGCAGCGCGAAATGGCGCACTATCACACACACATGCTCAGTGGATCAAATCTCGAAGCCATAATAGCCCAGGCCAACAAGCCTACCGCCCCGGGGCCGGTTCATCAGAACCTAATTCGTCTGTGAGGATGAAAGCAGTGGCCAATGAATCGTCATAGACTCTGAAGGAATTAAGCCGACAGAGGAAAATCAAAATCTAGGCTCCTAAAAACAGCGAAGTGAGAAGCAATAGTGAAAATAACTCACTCGTTCTGCGAAGCAAGGAGCCTGTGATGGAGAGGTGCAATTGCGATCCATCGCGGAAGAATTTCGGAAAGCAAAGGTTGTAACGAGAACGGCTCCAAGTGAAGCGAACACTAATAGCAGTAGAGCGAGGCAAGCGAGGTAGAATGAATATCCATAATATTTCTGAAAAAAGTACTAGCAATATTATCTGTACAACAGCCAGAACAGGCTAATCCTATCTGAAGAAGGATCCAATTTAAGACCCATTGAACTTAGACAAGGGCTGACATATTGATCACGATTCTCGCAAGCGATCGGTAGGCCTCTCACGTGGAAAGTTTTCACATGACTTTCTTCAAAAAAAAATCCCAACAAGATTGATAAGAAGAGCCATTCGCTCAGGATTAGGCAAGAAAATCTGCTACCAACGCGGATCTAGCTAGTTGTCTTGCCGTGAATCCGTTGCGTTAGCTAGTTGTCTTGCCGCGCGGCACGCTGTTGGGGTATAACGCCCCTATCCATAATTAATCAAAAGTCTTATTTACGAAATTGAAATTTTGTCGTTAAACGAAACGGATACCTCAAATGTATTCTTTACTCCAATAAGGTATTTTGATTCCAACATTTCCGCATTCACAACGAAAACCATTAGCGATATAGAAAGAATAAGGACTGAAAGCAACAAATATAATCATGGAAAAGCTTCTTCAAGACAATTTAGAAATAGCTGAAGGATTTCCGCACTCGAAGTAAATAAGAGGACGTCAAACAGTATTGCTGCCACTCGAGGCCGATTCCTTCTGAGAGTTGGAAGGGCAGCTACAATAATAGCGGCTGAGGTAATACCGATCGCAATAATGTTCAGAACAAGGACCGCATAATGCCACCCTAAAACACCACAATCATGAGAATGACAGGTAACATAAGACATCCAGATAGATCCCAAGCAGGAATTGGTGAGCGTTCGTGCAGGCTTTGTCTAGAAATAGCCAAAAAGTGTCATGGATGTTCATGGTAGGTGGCTAAATCTCTGCCTGAATTCTCATAGATTCGCAAACGCACATGGCAAATCTTTCATAGCGGTCTCGCGACATCAATCTGCGATTACTGTAATCACCAACTGAGACGGCGCCGCAATCCTTTGAATCTAACCCATACCCCATAGCAAGCATTGTTGAGTAGAAAGCTTGGGAAAGTTCACTAAAATCTCAGGACTATAGTAAGCTGTCTAAATGATGAAGGACCTATGCTCTCCCTGCAGTAGCGCTTCCAGTCGAATTTCAAGGGTGTCTAAAGAGAATGATGATGGAAGTTAGGAAATTCATGTACGAGGTCAACGAAGTATCATCCAAATTTGAAAAAAGGATAAAATAAAAGGATAAAGTTTTTGGCGTCAATCAATCCCGTCTGAGAGATGCGCCCCCGCACTCGACTTCCATTCAGAATCGTAGTGGCGTAGTGAGTGCGTATGTGGCCTATACAATGACTTGCGGTGGCCAGCCGATGTACAAGTCAGTGCTTTTATCCTCCCAGACGAGTCTGGTACCAATTCACCGATCCCGGAGGGATGGAAGGCTTGGTTGGCCNAGGCGGGCATCGATCCGGGATTCGAACCCCTGACCGTGCGTGTGATATAGTGCGTCACTTGCCACTACACCACCTCCGCCCTTGAATTTGAAAAGAAAAGAAAAAAAATCAAATAAAAAATATACGGGAAAGAAGTCACCAAAAAAGTAGGGCGTTCGGAGGAGCTTTTTTCGACAGTCACCTATCAGTAAGAAGCGGCAGACGTCTACCTAAATATCGCTTTTCAGAGTTGATTCAGGGCAGTTTCTAAAAATAAAAGGGACTTTTCTAAAGCTAGGGAATATTGATTATATTTACTTTGAATGACAACGAGATAAATAAACTAATAATCAGGACAATACATTATAAATAGTTACAAAATAAGCTGATTTTCTCTCTACCGTACCTTCTCGTAGTAATTGATCAGGTCGTCGCTGAAGATATACCAACATTGTGCAGCTCCTGGGCAATAAAGCCACAAACCAGATTGCACATAGCGATTCACATCGGTGTCTTCTGCTACCTGAAACAGCGAGGCTCACTAGAGAATGAAGACAGTTTTTAAAAAATGGGAAAAAAATTCCTAGTTCTGCCTGGAGGACAGATCGCGAATAGAAACTGACGGTCAAGGGTAGGGGCATCACCCCATCGTAGGAGTTGAAAACTTTATTTTACCAATAATTCATTGTACAGAACGACGTACCTGCCATGCTGGTGTCAGTGTCCCAATCACTAGAAAAATATTGGCAATTACAGTAAGAATGCAGGTCCCAAGCAGGCACTTATCGTGATTTGTCAAGGAATCCCATGACAGCATTTTAACTTAGATCTTTGCTCTGAAATTTTCAGTTTTAACTATTTCAATCAAATTATGAAAAGCAGTTCTCTACCTCAAGTAAGCAAGCAGCTGGTAGAGCTGGGTTATTTCCTGGTATGTTTGTGCGATCAGGGAAGGTCGTCGTCCAATGCTCCAACTTATGAATTAGAGCTACTCAGAAGGGACTACGAGTACAGCCGGTCATTCAGGATTTCGAATAACCGTCTTGTGAACCTGCACAGCTAAAAAATCGGGATTCCAGGAGAAGCAACAATACTGTATATCATATAACAGCGAATAAGTTATGCTAACAACATACGATTTACAATCGATACGAGAGAACGGCAAAAAAAAAACCCGAATGATGCAGGTACAGTAATAGCGTACTGTACAAGCTGTAGCTACTGTACTAGGGTACTGTAAAAACGTGCCGGAAGTACTGCGAGACAAATACTCATTTCGAGGGCAGCAAAAAAATCGGAAAATGGTCAGTCACGGAAAGTAATGTAGAGAAGTATTCAGTGACAAGCACGGAGCTCAAGCACAAA